TTGAACAGAATTTCACAATTAACTGACGCGGTTTCCCATCTTTAGATTTACCAGTGCGATGGCAAACAGAAATATCGTATTCATTAATATTAACCTGCATATCATTAGCCAATCCCATAACAATGCCTAAAACATCTTCTTCCTTTGTTTCAGGATAATTGTGAATACGTATATTTTCACGTCTGCTATATTGTTCAATGTGATTATATTTTTCATTTAAATTAACAACGGTAGAGCTTAATTTCTTAAGCTCATTTATATTTATTTCTAAGGTTTTCATCAATAATTTTGATTGGAATACATCTGTTTCTAATCTTTTAATCAGAATTTCATGATTATCCATAACCACCTGCTGTTTTTTACTAGCATCTTGCAATGGAACTATTGCCTCTTTAACAGTATTTTTCAAATCGTTTACAACAGACGAGACCAAGTTTTTCACGAATTCTTCATTTGATAATAAACTTTTAACAACAGTACTCACGATTTTATCAACATCAAAATCATGGGACGGAAAATGATCATTATTATCTACCATTTCACTAGATTAGAATTTTATATAACGTGAAAAGAACAAAAAAACGTGCGATATACTTTTAACTATGCAGCACGTCTATACTCATGCAAAGAAAAGAAAGAATGCAACGAAAAAATTAGTGTGAATGATGAAAATTAGTGGATCTAGGCTAGTTTTAAACACCGACTCTGAAAATGTGATTAAAAATTTTGTCAAATGTTTCTTGAATATCTTTTCAAAAAATCTCGGTTTACCAGAAAACCTTTTGGAAAACCTAAAGTTAGCAAAAACTCAGTTTCGATTTGCCAGAAGGATACGGCATTAATACTTGAACAAAATGAAACCTTTTCCGACTTCTTAAAATGTTTCTAGACTGAGTCAGATAACTTTTTAAAATAAGCACTTTTTTTTGCCATTTTAATCCCAAGAAACGCAAGACAAAATCAAAGTTTGAAGAGTGCTTGTTTTAAAAGTTATCTAACTCAGTCTAGAAAACATTTTAGAAAGTCGGAAAAAGTTTCATTTTGTCCAAGTATTAATGCCGTATCCTTCTGGCGAATTGAAACTGAGTTTTTGCTAGCTTTAGGTTTTCTAGATTTCCGAAAAGATCCTACTTCACCTTTCTCAAAAGTTTTGATCACATGTTCAGAATTGACGTCAAAAACTGACCTAGATCCACTAATTTTCAGATTTTTAAGTCCATGGCCCAGGAGTCAAACTGGCGAATCTTTGGAAAACTGGAAAATTATGGGGCAGCATGTACGAATCATTTGCCGAAAAATTCACCGTTTTCTCGCGCAGGGTTGGGCAGAAAATAACATTTTACTTAAAAAGTGGCGTTTTTTGGATTATTAACTGGTCCTACGTGCGACGCTTATAACCCTGGAAGGAAAGACTTTCCAAAGTTGATATTTAAACCACAATATGTTCAAGACGGCGAGACGATGTGGCAAAAATTTCGACCAAATCGATTGATGTTAGTATAACCACTTGCTCGTTGCTTTTCTACTGTCTCAGACAATGTCTCTTAAGAACGAAAATTTTCGTAAACCGAACAAAACCTGTATAAAAAGTAGAGCTTTTTTTGGATTTGTTCCGATTTAAAAAGCCATTCTACATAGATCTCTGATATAGAATTTCCTACTCTTTCGGAGAACATATCAATAGGGAAACTCTCGACCTGATAAATTCGCTTCTAAAGTGAAACCTCCTGGGTAATGTGTAATCTATCTAAGCTGATTCCAAATGACTAGTTCTTAATTGCCCTGACTAAGTCTCCAAGGACACTTTCTGGAACCCTTGTTTTCGTGGTCTAAAAAAACTTTTTAATTTTTGATACTGAAAAAGTACATCGAAGAACACATAGAAAAATCTCTTTGTTCAGCTTTTTATGCTTCTTCACATATCCTCGTATTCAAAGTACTTTTATACTAAAATGATGACAGATTCGGAATCGGCGTGAAAACTGCATCGTATAATGTGTCTTTTGACGTATTTTCAGAGGATTTATGTTTTATGAAAACTGCCTCGAAGAGAAAATATTAGTTTCTACAATTTGGTGATAAGCTAGAACAGTAGTGGTAGTGATCTGCGAGTGAAGCGAAGTCGAAAGCCGCTGCTTGTGTGCTTTTACTGCTTGAAATCGTTATAGTTTTTGGAGAGATTTGTTCATCAATGACTTGACCACGAATACCTGAGAAAAAACCAGACGGTCAAGGGACGGTGGATGCCTAATCAAGTGCCTATGCACATGTTAATTTGGCATTATTTGGTTTGGGCAGTGATAGGAGCGACATGAATTTTTTATAGGAACATTTAGAGTACCAGTTATTTCCAGAAGTTTCTGGATTCTTTGCCTTAAAAAGGGTATCTGTGGAATACCAGTTTTCTAGGTTACAGAGGAAATGCTTCTAGTAATTTCCTATCATTGATCCTGAATCAGCACACGCGAAAACTTATGAGGATGTCGAAATAGGTAGGTTTTGGAGCTTTCTAGTATAAAAAAGTATTCTGGAAAACCCATACCAGAGGACTCTTCACTTTCAGAAACCTTTCCACGTGATAGAGCACACTGGAAAACCTATAAAAAGTAAGATTTAGCTCATGGAGAGCTTCGTTAGTGCATTTTTAACTTAAAAACCCAAAGTTTTTCTGGAAAACCCTTTTCCAACCACTCTGTCCTTTCGAAAAGTGTTCCGTAGGAAAGAGCACGTGCAAAAACCTATGGAAACTGTGTTTTGAGTCACAAGAATCGAATTAAAACCAAATGTCCACGTGCCTATTGAAAATTCTCCACTGTGATACATATTATTTCATTCACTACTCCCACGATATTTTTAAGAAAAAATTACTCATGTTTACTATAAACTATATCCGTATTGTAATGCATCTTTTGTAACAACAACATCTGGCGTTCAATGTACTAAGTATAATCGAGCTATTTATAAATTTGATTATAAATAACAAGATGGTAAATGTGGTTTGTTTCATTGGTTAACCATCTCTCTTTCGGGCTAACTGATATGATTTTTCAATACGACTAGAATTAGTACTGTGCCTTAAGGTAAATTTACCAACTCTTTTTACTTACATAATACTTTGTAAAGATAGGGTAAGTGATTGAGAACGGGCAAAGAGTGTCGCATCAGTGGCGTGTCTTTTATTTAGACAATTATTTCGCTGACTATATTTTGTACATTTTATTTTCTTCCTTTTTTTATTGCTGGTACCGTTTATTTGTTAACTTCTTGTTATGCATAATTTTATGACGGATGTTTTCATATGCTTATATGTTTGAATAAATGTTGTTTTAAGGAAAAAAAATTAGTGTCCTCAGTCGTAATGACAAACAAACGTCCTTATCAATTGGATTTCGTTTGACTGATGTGGTGCTAAAGAAACTCTATGAGAAGTGAAGATGAAATGAAAAAGACTGAATTCCCGATATTTACTAAGAGTAGGTTGATTGAACTGTAAAATTACAGAGGCATAGAAAAATCTTCTTCCTATTTTGCAACTGAAACATCTGTTTTTTTTCCTTTGAACAACACTCCGAATGAATAAGAAGAAACCGAAATTTTTGAGAAATTCATAATATTCTGTAATCATCATTTTCTAGATAAATTGGATCTGCTCAACAAAAACCTTTTCTAAAGTGGAGCAGATTTTTATAGTAGGTCCAAAATAAAGAATGTTGGTTCAACTGATCAAATCTTTTCGCAAACTGCACATTGGGAAACGAGAAAAAGTAAAAGATAAAATTATTTCAGTGCAAAGGAACTTATCCATATATTGGCGCAAAAGAATAGAAAAGGAAGAAAAGAAAAAAGGATCCATATGTCTACATATTTACAGAATTATTAATTAATTTTAAGAGGATTTTTTATGCCTATTTCCCCTTAAATGTTCTTTCAAGAGCTTAAATGGCATAAAAAACATTTATTTATAAGATATTTATCATAAAAATTTTTTCCTTGCATTGACATGCGCTATTACTTATGATGTAGTATAATAAACATGTCACTAATGACGTAATCCAACTCTGCTTTGCATCTCCTTAAAAGTCCAAGAGTTCTTTTTGATTCTACACGTTACACAGAATGGATTAATGTCTATTTCAAAGAAATCTTTTTTTATCATATTCAACTAATTAAGAAGTCATTTTTCTTCCTCTCAAGATACTTTGAAAAGAATATTATAATAGATTCTTTAACAGACAAATTATACATTTTTATTTTCTTCTCTATCATTGTAGGGTGTTGACGATATATTTTAAAGAAGTCTCATTCATTGACACTAGTTACAATGTGTAACTTGTCTATTAATGACAGTATGATTATGTGTATCCTAAACAAACTTACACAAGATCTATCACGTTCTGCAATAATATTTTTCCTTTTAATTGGCAATATTGGAATAATTTTAAATTGTTTAATATTTTCCCTAAAATCCATACGATCAAGCCCATGTTCAATGTATTTTTTGGCTAAATCCTATTCAAATTTGTTTACATTCAATTTTGGTATTATACAACGCATTTTAAACTTTGGTTACAAAATTGATCCATCGACTTCTTCGATACTCTTTTGTAAATTGCGAGCCTACTTTTTTGTTATTCTTATTATACCGAGGGCTTACATTTGTCTGGCATCTATTGATCGATTTCTAAGCAGTTCTCAACATAGTCGCTTACGTCAACTCAGTAGCAGAAAATTAGCTGGTCGTCTAATTGTGGGAAATAGTTTATTTTGGATCATTACAAGCATACACGCCCTGATATTTCATCTGGCACATGCATAATGATGTCTAATGTTTATCGTCAATTCATTGCTCTGTTCTACAATATAATTCTTAATATCATTATAATACCATTAATCATGATTGGATTTAGTCTGTTAACAATTTACAATATAAAACAGAAAGGTCATCAAGTTCATCCCACAACCACGGCTGGCACGAGACTTTGCATAATGAAACAAAACGATGTTCAACTATTTCGAATGTTGTTGTTCCAAGTGGCTTTCTATATCCTATTTAATTTACCTTTTGCTGTCAATCAAGTTTATTGGTCATTTACAACAAATATGATAAAATCAACATTGAGAATAGCCAGAGAGGGATTCTTCTATTGGTTAAGTGGAACATTAGTCTATATTGCTTTTGGTTTAACATTCTTCGTATATACAATGAGTTCAAAAACTTTTCGAAAGGCATTAAAACATGTTGCATTAGGATTTTTGATAACTAAACTTCATCTACCTATCACATAGTGACGAATTCAATCAATTCCTATAGCTGCTACCCATTACACAGCATTTAATATTCTTAATATTCGCTTGACTGAAAGTCTAGGGTCATATGAACGAACTGTCCGTCTGTCAGCAGTAGAGTAGTGACATTTGTTTAAACGCTTTTCCCTTCGTATTTATTAATTACTAATTAATAATTAATAATTACTTAATAATTGTTACATCCTAGATGTAACAACAGCCTAGGGACGGGACATTTCGTTAATATGATCC